ATATATATATATATATATATATATATATATGTGACAGTATGAACGGCAAAATGATGGATGGACGATATGTGTCACCTCGCATAAGATCATATTGTGAGGTGTAAGGTGGAGTCCACTCCGGGTTTTCGGGCCACAATGGCAGAGGTGGTTCCGGACCAGAGTTTGGGCTCCACTAAGGTCCACCAACAGGTGATACAAAAAGGGCAGGGCTGGAGCAAGGAGTTGCTTGTGGCCTGGGACTCAGAGAGGTATTCTGAGAGAGCTGTGTGTATGGACTATACCTGCAAGAAAAGGTTTGCTGTTACTTTGTTTTGGTGACAGGGAGAAGCCCTTCACCTCTGAGAGAGGAATCATCTGCTGTTTAGTTAGTGCCTGGATGGCAAGGGTTTATTTTGATGTTTTGTTTATTTTGACATTTCTTGCAAACCTTTTTAATAAAACGGACATCCAGTCAGATTTTGACGAAAGCCTGCTGTGCGGTCTACCTTTGTCCCAGGGAAGGAGATCCCCCACCTGAGCTAACCCCACAATATATATATATATATATATATATATATATATATATATATATCTTGTTTGGTTGTATTGTGGGTCAGTATCCAGATCTAAACCTGGTAGCTCTCCCTCACTTTGTCTTTTCCCCTATGTTGGCATTGTGTCCACTGTAGCATTTGCGTAGGCAGAGAAGAGTAGGACTGGCCATAGAGGGATTACTTTGACGCAGTTGGCCAACTTAAACATGTATTGCAATATGCGTGAAACAAATATCCATATTTCTTGCAAAGTCTGCTGGAAAGGGTATATACCAGTGTGCAGAGGGTTCTTCAGATTTTCTAGTGTTAAAAATAACAGCTCCAAACCTTTACACATCAAATTTTGTTACTTAGTCACTAGGGAAACATACATTGGACCACAGCCCATGGACTTTATAGGCACAGCACTGAATATTGTAAAAAATGATAATCTTTATTGATGCACAATTAAAAATGAATTAAAATAAAACATAGTAGCATCTTGCACCCTTATGTCTGTTATGGTGGTGGATTCACACTGGCAAAGTTACACACTATGCAAGTGACTAGTACAAATACAAAAGCTCAAGATGTTTTGCATATTTTGCTTTCTTAGGAGTAGAAGGTGCAAAGATTGGACTGCTATATGGAGCGCCAGCAACTGAGGATCCTAAGGCTAGTATGCCACAAGAGCCAGCCCAGACCCCCCCCCCCCCCCTTTCCCCCAGGGCCACCACCATAACCGACATAAGGGTGCAGGATGCTACTATGTTTTATTTTAAATGTGATTTTAATTAACTTTTAATTGTGCTTCAATAAAGACTGTATTTTTTTTTTACGATATTCAGTGTTGTGCCTATAAATTCCTTGAGTTGTGGTACAATGTATGTATGTATGACGACACTTTGGTATCTGTTAGGGTAACTGGCATTGCTTTTCTTTCCACCTTCCCTTGTTTCATTCCCATTGATTGCAATTAATAACTAGGAAAGACAGCTATGCAAGCAGTCTGGGCCAGTCACAAAATCATTATTTTTCATATTTTTACCAGTGTAGCTGCTAATTTAGAAACATCTGAGCTGGTACATTGAGGGGATGAACACTAATTTTGATGAAAGAAATTTGAGATTTCCTATCAGCAACCAACCACATCTATCAAAAGAAATGGGATTGTTGCCGCTCTGTTGGTATCACTTGGAGGAATAGTGCCTCATACCAGTGGGAAGAATAGTGCCCCAAGGACTGGATAAAGGCAAGCAAAAGGGCTGCTGTTTGAAGATCATTGCTTTAGATTAAAAGACAATCACAGACTGGTTTCTGTAGGCATCTCACATTTGTTAGTGATATCAACACATGTAGAAAGTGATTCAGAGAGAATGAGGAAGTCGTTTTCTAACAAAAGGCAAGTAACTTTAAACCTGAAAACAAAATGTTACTGTCAAAAGTAAACCGACAAGCACAATGAATCCAAAGTAAGGGGCTTGACCTGAAAAATTAATGACTAATGCAAGTTTGAAAATAAAAAAGGCAGAATCTGGAAAGACCAAACCTGCTATTCACAACAAAAAACATGTTCATGAAAAGGACTTTTTTTCCATGTTGGCAAACTGCAAGTAGTGCCAAGTTTTTAATAGGATATTAAAAACACACCTTCTAATATTAAAAAAAAAAAAAAAGAAAAAAAAAAGCTCTGCACACAGGACAGTCTAAATACATGCCTCATCCTGCGTGTTCCCTATTCAAAAGAAGCTTACTTAAAGTGAACCCGTAATGTCCCCACGTAGTGCAAAACAATGGGTTTACTTAACTGCCACTCGCCCAAGCTTTCCATACCCTGCTTGGTTGCATGTTAGTGTGCATTCCCCATTCTTGCTAAACAGAATATGCTATAAAAGCCAAGTAAAAGACAAGCAACCTAAAAAGTGTATTTGTTTTTATGAATGCTTATGAGCCTTAGCTGACCCAGAATAATTCATAGAAATCAGTGGGGCAGGAAAATATCACTATGCGTTTTCTATTTCATCCCAGGTGAATTATACCGCGTTTTTTTCAGGACAAATTGGGCTTTCATTTGGTGGTAAATGGTAATGGATATCTCCTGATTTTTTTTTCTTTATTATCAAAGGAAAACTGGCCTAAAATAGTAAAAAAAAAAAAATATCACTTTTTTTATTTATCTGTGTTTCTCTTGTTATTACCATTACCTACCACCAAAGAACAACCCGAAATCAATTATCCAGCTCTTGGCGATCGCAGCGATACCATATATGTGTTTGTTATTTGTACCTGTAGTACAGCCCAGAAACAATAGTGCGCATTTTGTTTTTGTCTGGTTTTTTGTTTTGTTTTTTTTTTTTAACCTAAAAACACATTGACATTAACACTAACTGACACAGATACCAATTTTTTTTTTAAATCCTGACCTTTGACCCTGACCTTTACCCAAACAATGACCCTGGCACTGAACTAGTTCAAACCTTGATCTAGGTATTTTTTCTTTATTTTTTAATATTTATTTACAAACATTTTTTGTCCATGCCAGGAGTTAGAGAGATACAATGTATCTCTCTCCTTCATTCATAGAGAGAAAAAAAACAAGTGGGCCGGGCTGCACAGTGACTGATCACTGTGATAGCCAATCAGAGGCTATCACAGCAATCATGTGACCCGGAATCGGGAGTCCCGAATCCCGATCGTTAGAACGGGATCCGAGGCTCTCAGTCACACTGCGGTCTGTGCTGGGAGCGCACTCTCCCAGAACAAAGACAGGTACACAAATACGCAGCTCCACGGAAAAAAGCCCAGTTCCGTGACAACGCATATTTGTTTGACATCGGCGTCAAGGGGTTAAGGAAATGGAGTTACCCCATGACAAAACTAATTAGATAGTATAATCTATCTTGCTACAGATATGTAAATACGGGTACAGTCATCCACCGGCTTAAATTGTCAGCCTCTCATAGACAAGCCCCATACCCAGACAAAAATACCTCACTGTCTTGAGGAATGCAAAATGATGCACTGCAAAACGCAGTACAGACCTCTCCAAAAAAAATACCATGTGCATTCAAAGTGTGCTCCCAAAGAAAGGCCCAAAAGAGAAACAGAAACTCTACATATTCCACTCCAGAAAACAGAGCTTTGTCAGGAGTATAAAGAATTAAAAAATAGGTCACATAGTGGCTGGAAGTATAGACAGCGCAGAGGAACTGCGATGGGTTCATCTTGTGCACCTATGTATGCAAATCTCTTTGTGTGGTGGGGGTGTACTATGGTCTTTGTAGAAGAACTAGAATGTTTTTATGTCACACATTCTTATGTGGGTAAGATTCATTTCTGATGTGTTTATATTATGACAGGGTCAAAATGATCTGCTTGTGGAATTTGTAGCTACCTTAAAGCGAAACAATATTGGGATGTACTTCACGAGTTAAATTAAATATGATAGCATTATTTTTTGGACTTGGAGATTAAAAGGGGTGAAGGAGGCAATATTAATATATATTGATGGAGTGTAGCCATATTACATATCTGTAGCAAGATAGATTATACTATCTAATTAATTTTGTCCATGGGGTAACTACAATTCCTTAATAGAGACTATATATACACAAGCTGATAGGATTATGATCAAACTACAGAGTCTCTTTTTATGCAGGCATTTCATCTAAAATGGTATGGTATTTGATCTGGTGATATTAACCATTTAGATGTAACGTACATAATTGTGATGGTATCCAGTCATATTATGTGCAGTACATTCCACTCCAATAGGCATTAATTACAGCTGAGCATACATTTATATATTTGAATAAAGGTTATATTTTAGATTCATCAATTGACCAGATGGTGCATAGGGACACGCACCCTCGTCCGGCATAGATATGTTCTCCTTTAGCGGATTCACACTAACATTTGAAAAATAGCATATATCCCACAAAAAATATAGTGCATTTTTGCTAAAGTGCACTCAAGGAGCCAATACTCAAAGGATGTCAGTCAGCAGATCCAAATACCATCTGCCACCTCTGACAGATAACGCGATTGTTAATTCCTGGGGACATCATCCAGCACCCTGGTGCAATACTTTTACTATGCTACAGATTCACATTTTTGCATTGCAATAAAATGCAATTTACCACAACAACACAAGAACCACATTGTGGTGCCAATCATTTGAAAGCACCACAACAGACCTGTATTTTAGTGTACCACAATGCAAAGATGTGAAACAAGGGTGTGTCGTGGTGAAAAGAAGAAATTAAAAGAAACAAAAAAAAAAAAAAAAAAAAAAAAGGGGGGGGGGGGGCACAGGTGTGTTTTTAAAGGTCCGTTGCAATTAATTGGTTGCTCATTTAAAATGAATGGGCTGCATACTGCAAGGTTTATTAAAGTGCTTTATAAAATGCATTAATGCACTGCAAAGGTCTGAATGTCACCATCAGGTTGAGGATTTACTGTAGTGTGTACCGAACTTGCTGTGCTCACCTTGATATATCTGAATAAACTTGGGAAGCAAGGTTGCACTGATTATTCCATCTGGCATTTCTCGTAGGAACAGCTTCAGCAGGCTGGCAGCGGAATAGACATCTCCATCTTCTGATAAAGTCAACGGCTCGCCACTTTCATATTTCAGCCGCAACTGTTCCACCACTTTAACATTTCCATTCACCCTGAAAAGGCCTTCGTGTGTCATCCCTGCAGGTATGAAAATACATTAAAGAATTTAAGTGCAGTGCAAGAGTTTCTTTCATATGTAGTTTCTAGAAGCAAAAGATGCCATTAGCCAGTGGTTAACCACCACATAAATGCTAGGGCCACCAGAGGGCTGCACATTACACATCTCATTTTCCTTTGCAAAAATTGAAGCAGGAAACAGCAGGGGAAAAAAAGTTCTACTATGCATAAATCTGCTAAAAGCACGATCTAACAAATGTGTGTTTTCCTTCTTATTCAAAAAACAGTTTTCACACTTGCAGATGATATCCTATATCTGCTTTGCAGCCACTTCCCATCTACATGCATGAGCTCCAGTGATGACCATCTTCATATTCACGATTATGCTCCATACCTGTACAAGAAACATTGGCATGGCCACTTACAGTCTCCACTGAAAGCACTGGGTAACACTGGAAAGCAAATAGGAAAGAGGGACAGAGTAGAGTCATAGTATACAAGGATTTGCCTAAACCATGAAAGCTGCAGATTTTAAAATGCCTACAAATTTAACTTTGAAATTATAGTAACACAAATAAAGAATATGTGAGACTGGGATTGGATTTAAATCATCTTTGATAATATATCATCAGTGTCACCGATATCCCATTACTAGTAGTAACATCACAAAGTTATAAAATGGTTAGGAGTACTTAGCTGTGATTTTATATATGTGCTACAATCTGTTCAGGTTCCAAGGATAATAAAGTTGTTTCTTTTGCCACTAAGTGCAAGGGTAGAGGGACTCCAGGCTGCCACTCGAGCACCAATACCCATATCATCCTTTTACAGAAATCCTGAGCCCCCCTCCCCCCATAATTCCAAAGTAATATGATCAGCCTTCTGCAGCGGATTTGGGAATCCATTGGAAAAATCTCCAGATGAGATAGTGGTTGCAAAGCAGCAGCACAGTCTTAGTATCTGTGTCAACCAAGTTCTGTTCCACCTTGTTAACAAGAAACTCTCAACCTCCCTAGAACACTGTATAAAAGTGAAAAAGGAAACCCGGGGGTGGGTAGAAAGTCAAATTATATACTTACCTTTCCCCTGGCTTCCTCTTGCAGCGCCTTAGAAAGGTGAGGTTATCCTCCTCCTCTCCAGATCTCAGAGAATGCCAAGTAGCCCAATTGTAAAAAGAAGATGATCCTGCACCATGCAAGGATCTTGTCAGCAGGGGGATTTCAGCTCCAACACAAGTTGGGAAAAGGCGAGTAAATTATTTTTCCCACGGGTTCTTTAATGCAGTGTTTCAGAAGGGAGAATGGGGCCAAAAATCAATAAATGGACCTTACCTGAAGTACAAATCTCAGATGAGAAGGGTTATTTACATGACAAAGCTTCCTGTTCACACATGCGTTTTGCAGAGGTGATGGGGACAAGGAAGGCAAGCTTATGAGTAAGCGTAGTAAGAGGAAAATCCCTAATAAGTTTAAAAAGTGTTTTTTGAAGTGCAAAATAATCAAATTTAAACCCCACAGAGTGACTGGTGAACATACAGGGGAAGACACACGAGACACCCTGTACAAAAGCCTTAATCAAAAGAATAGGAGGCTAGCTGTCTCTGCAGCAAGATCACAAGCAACAAGATGGTACTCATGGCCAAATGTTGTTTCAGACCGAATTGTAAAAAAGGTCAGGACAGGTCAGAATATTTCCTGAGATAAAGGTTTCTTTTCTCATAAAAAATGAAGTCTTCCATGTGCAATGGTAGACTTTATGGAAAGTGAACTTCCTAGTTTTTAGCATTGCAGAAATTCGGAGAAGACTCTATCCACCAAGACCTGGGTTTTAATGACCATGCCATAGAAACCAGTAACCATGATGGTAACTTGGATCTTGGGATAGAAGAGTGTCTGCTAGTAGTCCATACCAGATTGGAGTACCAAATCAACCTGGGCCAGGCCAGAGCTATATGAGGATCAGCGGAATGCTGCCCACATTGATCCTGCAGAGCAGATCAAGTAATTTCAGGGCAGGAAAGCCAATAGATCAGGCTGTTCTGATCCCAAAGAGCCACCAGAACATCTTCTGCTTTCACCAGAGAATCTCTGTACCTGGAGATACATTTTTTCAGTTTTTTGTTGAACCTGGAAGACCACAGCCAGCATCCCTTCCTTTTAGCACAGGTACTGGAACACCTTTGGATATAGGGCTCATACCCCTAATCCAGGCATCATCAGGTCAGGATGTGTGCCTGCCATTGTCCATACCTAGAATGTAAATTGTGGACTGGAATGTGACATTCTACCAAGGACAAATTATTTACCCTTTTTACCATGGCAAGACTTCTGGTTCTTTTCTAATAATTGATGTATGCCACTGCTGTGGTGTTGTCTGACTGAAACCTGATCAAATGACCTACCAGACTGGATATCAGGTGCTGTAGGGACAACTAAAATCACCCACGGATCCAGGATGTTGATCAGGAGACAGGGTTGGACAGGCTGGCATCCATGGTGAGAAACCTCCAGGAATGGAGAAGAAAAGATTTTCCCATCTCCAGAATTGGATTTGTGAGCCGCCAGGCCAGAGACAACCTTGTCCTTGGTGACAAGTGAATCGGTTCATCCAGATACTGAACAGATTTGTCCCATGACAGGATATCAGGTTTTAGGGGTTGGAGTGGAACTGGTCAAATGGATCTGCCTTGACAGTAGGCTACCACCAGTCCCATGACTTTCATACAAAAGCAAAGAGTTAATCAATTCTTGGACAGAAGAGTCACAGTCTCTGGGCAGATAGTTTTAAGTTTCTCCTGGTAAAGAAAATCTTTTGCTTGAGTTGTGAATATGATAAGAACCAGATACTCACAGTGATTAAGTTGGTTCCAACGCAGACTTCTAAAGATTCAACAAAAGAAAGTGAACTGTCTGCAACACATTGTGGATCAGGATTTGTGCCAACTACTTGAAAGGGGATCATCCAGGTAATGGGGATGTCCTGGGAGCATAACTAGGCAAGCACAGGGATTGGAACCTTGCTAAATATGCGAGGTGTGAATGGTAGGGCCATGAACTTAACGTGTTGGGGACAGATAGCGCAGTGAAGGAATTGCTAATGTTTGAGAAAAAAAAAAGGGAGGGACATGTATGCATCTTTGATGTCTACCAAGACCAGAGAATCTCCCTAGAGGAGAAGGCCATGACAGACCTGGTGGATTCCATTCAGGATTTTTAGGTCTGAATGGAGACAGATATTTAGAGCCCTGAGATGCATCAAATGGCCCCTTTTGGTTTGGGAACTGTGAACTTGGAAAAAAGTCCCTAAAAACTTTCCACCACAGAAAATTAGGGCAATAAACCCTAATCCTAAAGATCTGCAATAGCTGCATAGAAGTTTTCTAATCTGCGCAGTTACACAAGAAAGTTGAAAAAGATGAAGCAGGGAGGGGGATGAGAGCAGAACACTGCTTATAGCCCTTGTAAACCACTTTCTGTACCCAGGCATCTGAAATGCTGTCCCTGTCCAGATGTCTGCAAAGGTAAAGTGGCCATACACAGATCGACTTTCAGCCAGTTCAGCAGGGACTGGCTGAATTTCAATCAGTGTGTGGCTGTTTTTGCTCAACAGATAATCGTTGATCGACTTGTCAAAGAGAAAACTTTTGGCAATCAGAGACTGCTGCTGCTAACCAGTGTATCTTGAGAGTGTAACCCAGCGGGGGCAGATTCATCCATCCACCTTGTTGTTCAGCAGGCTGAATGGAAAAAGATAAAACCTACCCATTTATGGCCAACTTAACAGATGTGCCTCCATAATGGAATAAGGGGGAATCCTTTCATGCCGAAGAGGACTTGTCTGTACATATAGGGAATATAGTGGCCTAGGGTTTGTAGCTAAACTTGGTTCCTGTCTTGGTTTGATCTTAGTGGGTTGAAGCCTGGAAGTAATAAAAAGGATCTTTTCTAGGTCTTGGAGGAAGGGAGGGAGGGAGAGAGTCTTTCCATCTTGAGGCTTAGGTTTACCTAGCCTGGGACACAGGAGTACTCTTCCCCCATTGACATCCTTTATGGGGGTGTCAGTACAGCTCCGAAGACACATTGACTCTAAATGGGTATGCATCTGCTCCGTACACCAACAGCATGTTCACAGATTGAAGACTCATTAAAGAAAGAGGAGACTCATAAAATGGGAGTTATCCACTAAATGGTCTCTCTAACCCTGGGAGCTATGGTATCTGCCTGTTGCTACTCAGGGGCAACATCCTCTGGCAAGGATTTTTGAGACTCTTTGTCAGGGGCAGCCTCTGTAGCAGAAGGCTCAAAGGCCACTGAAGCTTTAGCTAGGTCAGATAATGATTTTGGAGGGGAAGGTGTTGAGGCACACTTACAGTATATCCTCTGTGGTCAGAGTCTGCAAACAAAGTTGCAACTTGGCCTATAAAATAGAACTGCAGTGAAATCCTCCCAGGAAAATGCCACACCTGGAACTGCTAGCGAAGCATGAGCTGGAGGGTCCCTATACAGTGGGATTGCTCCTTTAGTGTTGGGATCCAAAATGTTTTACTTCTCGGCAGGGACAATTCAGCTCAGAATACTAGGTACCTTGGGTGCTCACAAACTAGCTGCTAAAATCAGGAAAGATTCAAATAGCCAGAGGTTACCAAGTCACTGTAGGTGGCAGGAAGGACTAACTGAGGGGTCATCGCTTTCCTCTTGTGAACAGGAGCATTGGTGGGAAGATGCTACTGCCTGGTAACAACAGAGTGCAGAGTACACCACCTAGTGACAGAGCACTTGCTTACTCAGTGTTTGAACCCATTTTGTGGAAGTCAAGAAAAAAAAAAAAAAAAAAGAAAGAAAGGAAAGGAAGAAGGAAAAGGAAGAAAGAAGGAAAGGAAAAGAAGAAAAGGAAGGAAAGGAAGAAAGAAGGAAGAGGAAAAGGAAGAAAGAAGGAAGAGGAAAAGGAAGAAAGAAGGAAGAGGAAAAGGAAGAAAGAAGGAAGAGGAAAGGAAGAAAGAAAGGAAGGAAGAGGAAAGGA